TTTTCAAGCAGTTCCTGCGCTTGCGCATCGAGGAGCGCACGGAGGTGCTCAAGTCCGAGGTCTGCAAGTCCAAGGCGTGGGAGGTCAAGTATGACCAGGAATTGGATGCCATCTTGGAGATTGATCCGGAATCCGAACCGTCTCCGGAGTTGGCCTTCGCGAAGACATTCTTCAGGCCGGGCCTCGACATGCCTGGGCAGCTGTTGCACTTGTTGGAGAATCCGGATCGCTTCGGCACGCTCGCCTCGCGGTTGCGGGCCCACCCCCTGCAGGCCTTCCACTTCTTCAGCAATGACGATCTCCCGAAGATGAACCAGGAGGATTTCCTCCGGACGGTTCGCATCGTTGCGCGTAAGCCTCTCTTGATCAAGTTGATCAAGAACGCCATCTTGAAAAGTTTGGTGCGCGATTTGGCAGCTCTTCGCTCTTGCGGCCCAGAGTGCCCGAATAATGACAACTATGCCGAGTTCGCGCAGGGCGTGTTCCTGGAGCTGTGCGTGCGGAAGTTGCCGCCCATCGGACTGTCGGCGCCGGATTGCAGCGCGGACGCTGCGAAGGACATATCTCCCGACACGGCGAAGGCCGCGCTCAAGGTGATCGAGAAGAGTTGGCGGGGGGACGCAGCCGACGCACCGGCCGGTGGACACATCAAGACTTTGGCGGGCGTGGCCTCCGCAGCCAAGCAAGAGCCCGCGTTAGCCCCAGCCAAGCCGGAGCCCGCAGAGACGGCGGGGAAGGCCGAGGGCGCGGCCGTTGAAGAGCCCCCCGACGGAAAAGCGGGCGGAGAGTGGTCCACGGGGGACGTCGTGCTCACAAAATTCGGCGTGGAGAAGCACTTGTGGAACGACAAGAAGGGTAAAATCGTCAATGTGCTCGCGCAGCACGTGGACGTCCTGCTCGAGGAGGGCGAGAACGCAGGCACGACCAAGAGGTACCCGAAGAAAAATGTGTCCGCCTGGATTGACCCCGCAGCCGGGGGGCTTGCAGCGCCCGCGGGGTCGAAGGGCACGCAGGAGGCAGGGGCAAAGCGCCCGCCGGCGCCTGCGCCCGGCGAGGGCCCCCCAGAGAAGGCTCTCAAGAGCGGGGAAGACCTCGCTGACGATATTTTCGGCGCCGAGAGCAAGTGATCCACCCGGGGAGTTTGTCAGCGAGGCAGCCGGGGCGCGGGCAGTTTTGCGCGCTGTGTGCGTGCAGTCCGTGAGTGCCGCGGGGTGTAGTCCGCCGCCAACACGAAGCCTCGTCGCACCTCTGGTGTGGAAAAGTGCCCGACGCTCAACGCCCAACGCGCGCTGACCTTGACACGCTCCCCATTGAAGAGTTAGTTTTTTACTTACGCTCGTCTGCATCCTACCTGGGGCCTGGTGAATCGATTCACCGATGTCGCACGGGGCCGCGTGTAAGGCCGGCCGCGTAACTGTTCTACCAGGGCCGCGGAGGCAAGCATTCAAGAGATAGTTCCCAACCTCCCTACTTAGGCTTCTGCCTAGAGGGTTCTTATTCGTTTAGCTTAAAGGGGCCGGGCAGTGCTACCCGCCCCGAGCGGTTCCCCCAGTTGCGCCCCTCTCAGCCCCAGCTTAGCTTAGCTTAGCTTAGCTTATCTTAGTCTAGTTTAGCTTTGCTTTGCTTTGCTTTGCTTTGCTTAGCTTACTTAGCTTAGCTTAGCTGCTTAGCTTCGCTTAGCTTAGCTTAGTTTAGCTTACCTGACCTTACCTTAGCTCAGCGTACCTTAGCTGATCTCTTTTTAGCTTGGCTTGGCTTAGCTTAGCTTAGCTTAGCTTAGCTTAACCTATCTCATCTTAGCTTAGCTTAGCTTAACTTAGATTAGCTTAGCTTAGCTTATGCTGCTTTCCTAGGGGCTCCGGCTCCTAGGTAGGGTCGCACTGGGATATTTCTAACGCTCGGCTGCATCAATCAGCACGCCAGCCTACTCCGGCCCACGTAGACGACGACCACGACGACGACGACGACCACGACGACGACGACGACGACGACGACGACGAGGACGACGACCACGACGACGACGACGACGGACAACGAACGACGGACGACGAACGACGACGACGGACGACGGACGACGGACGACAGACGACGACGACGACGGAAGACGACGACGACGACGACGACGACGAGGACGTCCCAGCTCGGCCGGCCCGCCCGCTCGGCCCGGCCCGGCCCGGCCCGGCTCGGCCGGCGGAGGAGGAGGAGGGAGGGGGAGCGGGAGGATGAGGACAGGACAGGTGGAGGAGTAGGAGGATGAGGACAAGGAGGAGGAGGAGGAGGAGGGAGAGAAAGAGAGTGAGGAGAAGGGGGGGGGAGGGGACATGCGCAAAGGGGAAGGCAGATGAGGACTATGTGGTGGAGCAGGCGTCCGCAACCCGCGTGGCAACGAGGCAGAAGGCGATGATGATGAGGAGGAGGAGGAGGAGGAGGAGGAGGAGGAGGAGGACCAGGGGAAGGAGGACGTGGATGAGGATGAGGAGGAGGAAGCGTAGGAGGAGGCCCGTTTCGCTTGAGACAGCCTCGCACCTCTGGGTTTCGAGACGTTCTGACCTGAGTTGGTCAGACCACTTTCGCCTGAGGATTCCTACAAGCTCTGACTTCGGAGGTGCCCTGCCCCACAGTGGTCCGGGAACTCTCGCTGGAGACATCCTCGCAACTATGGGTTACGAGACGCTCTGAGGTCAGGTGTTCAGGCCGCTCTCGCCTGACGCGTCCTCGCAATTCTGACCTCGGAGGTGCTCTGCCCGATGGTGGTCCGTCCACCTTCGCCTCAGACATCCTCGCAACTTTGATGTCCGAGACGCCCTTAGGCGAGGTGTTCAGGCCACTGCCGCCTGAGACATCCTCGCAACGTTGACCTCGGAGATGCATTGCCCAATGGTGGTCCGGCCACTTCCGCCTGAGACAGCCTCGAAACTCTGATCTCGGATATGTCCTGACTTCAGGTGTTCAGGCCACTTTCGCGCGAGACATCCTCGCAACTCTGGGTTGCGAGGTGCCCTGAGCTCAAGGGCACATAGCAAACTCAGAACAAAAACATAACACATGCAGAACAAAAAGGCGCGATATTATGACGGGAAAGGCTTCAATGAAAGGCCACCGAACCTTCGGATTCAAGTTAGTTATGGATATGGCGACACTTTTGATAGTCTCTAGGCAGCCGCGGGTTGACACAGCGTTGGGTCAGCGCAGCGCTCCGGTTACGCGCAAAAGCTGAGCGGCGGGTGGGGCAAACGTTGGGCTGAGATTCGGATCGCGGACTAAAGCTCGCGAGGCGCACCCGCTTGCACTAGAGGCACAGACCTGGATGGGAACGCAGAGCCACGCGGGAAGAGTTTTTTTTCATCAAGGTGTTTGATACAGCGTGGCAATGCCACGCATCGAACGCAGCATATTGGAAGATCATAGAGAAGTCTTGCGTATGCCAGGTGTCGGAAGCATGCAGCGTTAGCGGATTCTCTTTCCTGGCCGTGCGCACGAAGCCGAAGAAGAGACGGTCGGACGCAGTTGTTGTTGAGAAGACGCGCATGCAGCTTTCCCCAGCGGCAGCATAACTGTCATAGGCTGGACCAGGAGTTTCATGGTGGCATGTGCCCCGTATTAGTCTGACAGGGTGTAGGTATTCCAACCAATGTTGCACAGCAAACGAAAGTACGACGCCACGTGGTCGTTGTGATGTTGGAGCGCCGTGGTACCGACACAATTGTTGGGAGGGTAATGTGGCTGCCGACACGCTGGCGAACCGCACCGAGCAAACAGGACACAATCGAGGATTTCACAGGTACCTTGGACCTCTTGTGATGGAGGTCGCAAAGGGAATCTGGCAAGCGCTAACTGGAACATAGATTACTACAACTTCCACTGGTACGAATGGCAACGTCTTCGACGAACAGGTACTCTTCTCCCTGGAGCAATCGTGGTGGATGCCGTACTACGTATAGCCGAGGCGTTGTTGGAGCAAGACCCGCTGTTTCGTGCAGGCATCTCGAGCGCAGACGGGGGCACGACGATTGACTTTCGTTGGCCTCGCCACGCCCTTGCTGTGTTCAGTGAGACGCAGCAGATAAGGTTGTTGCCAGTAGTGTTATTCAGGATCACCTGATATCACAGCGAGAGCGCAGCAACAGCAAACAACGCTTGTCTCGTCACAATCCTCGTCCGTCTCATTATCGTCATCCTCATCCTCCTCACCATCCTCGTCCCATTCCACCCCCATCGGCCTCTTTATCCTCCTAACCACCACCCGTGTCCCATTCCTCCTCGTTTTTCCCCTCATTATCGCTTTCATCATCATCACCACCACCACCATCAGCATCATTATCCTCACCATCACCATCATCATCATCATCATCACCTTATCCAGATTGCCCCCTCCCTCGCTCCATCCATCCTGTTCCTCTCGTCTGTTATCCTCCCTCACGATCCTTCCCTTATCTCTCCCGCTCATCCTCATCATTATTATCAGCATTCGCATCACCATCATCATCATCAACCTCATCATCATCATCATCATCATCATCATCATCATCATCATCATCATCATCATCATCATCATCATCATCATCATTCTTATGTTCATTATCATCATCAACAGCATCACCTTCTTCTTCTTCATCGCCATCATCGTTATCGTCATCGTCATCATCACCATCATCATCATCATTCCTCGTTTCCCGCCCTCTCCATTCCTCGCACCTCTTACCGTTGGTGGCCGACGTTTCCTGCTGCGCCCATCCGTCTATCCACAGTTCAGCGCAGCGTGGCGATGCGGGTGCAGCGTCGGAAGAGAGAGAGAGAGAGAGAGAGAGAGAGCTGTGCGAGAGCAGCTGGGTAAAAGTCCGCGCACTTGGCCCGTGCTCCTTGTGCGGCGTTCTCCACACCTCGGGCTCCAAGCGGCCCTCCTGCTTGCCAGCGGGCGGTCTCGCAGCCCGCCCCTCGTTCACACTGTTGCGTGCCGTGCCAGGGCTTGGAAAACGGGTCCCCTTGTGTGTGCTCCCGCGATGGTCACGTCACTCCGCCCGCGGGAGGGGAAGGACTCACCCTCCAGAGCGCACGCCGAACAAGAGGCCAGGCCGGCTGGCAGGTGCCCGACGGAAGGGCTTGCTGCAGCCCCTTTGGCCTCGGGGACGAGCAGCAGCCCTGGGGCGTCGTAGGGCCCTCAAAGATCGACGAGGACTGTGGCCGAAGATCTCTTGCAGCAGATTTCAAATCGTCTGTTGTAGCCGCGTTGGCCCACCCCCTCCCGCTGCTGCACCGAGGACCCCGCGGAGGAGAAGGAGGGCGCCAGTACTGCGCCGAAGCACGGCAGCAAGATGGCAAAGATTGTGGAGCGGCTGCACGAGCTGCGCAAGGAGGAGCCGGGTGCCAAGGCCAGGGCGGGCTCAGCACGGTCTTGTGTTCGCCCCCCCCCCTTCAGGAGCAGCACGCGGAGAGGAGGACAAGGGGTGTGGGGGGGAAGATGGGGGGGGGAAGGAGAGGGAGGATGACGAGGGCAAGGAGGAGGAGGAGGAGGAAAGGGGAACAGGAGGAGGAGGAGGAGGAGGGTCAAGGAAGGCTGCAAGAAGGGGGGAGAGATGAGGCGGACGCCTGCTCTCCCTATAAGCCCGTAAGAGCCTAACATATCAGCTCCAAAGCACCCCATCGGCGGTACACTTCACAGTCGCTACTAGGCGTGGGGATATTTCGATTGGTATGCGACATGCTTCGTATCGTCGCCGTACCCCTGCCGCGGCGGGAAGTGCGGGGATTGCGGGAAAAGGAAAAGGAAGCATGGACAACTATGAACCAATACGAGCCGCAAAGGCAGGATGTGCAGGGACAACAGGCAAAGCAAGGACAGCGGCAACGTGGCACCAGAAAGCAGATTGGACGACGGTACTGCTTCTTCTGATCAGCACAGACAGATGGCACCCCTCTCTCTCTCCCTCTCCCTCAGCACAGACAGATGGTGGTTTTGTTTCTTCTCGTGTTCTTCTTCTCCTTCTCTCTCTATCTCTCGCTCTCCCTCGCTCTTCTCTCTCTCTTTCTTCTGATGTTATTATTATTATTCTTCTCTCTCTCTCTCTCTCTTCTCTCTGTATCTCTCTCGCTCTCCCTCTTTTGTTTCTCTCTCCCTCTTTCTCTGTTCTCCAGAACCACGCCATGCCGCCGATCCCCCCGAAGCGGGACGACGTCCACGGGTTGGGCCGTCCGGGGCCTCTCTTGGGGGCCCTCTTTGGGGGCCTCTTTTTGGGGCCTCTTTTTTGGGGCCTCCTCGGGCATCCCACAGAGGGGGCCTCTTGGGGCGAATGGCTCCTACTCCTTGGGGCCCTCTTGGGGCGAATGGCTCCCCCCCTTTTTGGGGCCTCTTTTTGGGGCCTCTTCGGGCATCTTGGGAGCTGGCGGTCTCGGGGGTCCTGGGGCGAATGGCTCGGGATGCCAGTTCGGGTTGCCTCTCCGGGACCCCCCCTTCGAGGGCCCTCTTGGGCCAGGCCAGGTCGGGCGTCTCTCTCTGTCTCTGTCACTCTTTCGTCGGCGGCCGGTACTAGGGCGCCCCCCCCCCCCACACACACACCACACACCCACACACACACACACACACACGCACACACACAGACACACACACACACACACGCACACACAGACACACACACACACACATACACACATACACACACGCACACAGACACACACATACACACATACACACACACACGCACACAGACACACACACACACACATACACACACACACACACGCACGCACGCACGCACGCACGCACGCGCACGCGCACGCACGCGCACGCGCACGCGCACGCGCACGCGCACGCGCACGCGCACACGCACACGCACACGCACACGCACGCACGCACGCGCACGCGCACGCACGCACGCACGCACGCATGTACGCATGCACCCACACCCACACCACACACCCACACACCCACACACCCACACACCCACACACACACACACACACCACACACACACACACGCACACGCACACGCACACGCACACGCACACGCACACGCACACGCACACGCACACGCACACGCACACGCACACGCACACCCACACACCCACACACCCACACACCCACACGCACGCACACACACACACACACACACACACACACACACACACACACACGCGCACACGCACACGCACACGCACACGCACACGCACACGCAGACGAACACGCACACACACACGCACACACACATACACACACACACACTTTGCGCGATTGCGGCCTCGCGCACGGCGACGAGGCGGAGCAAGTCGAGCAGTCGGAGCGAGCGAGCGCGCGCGGCCGAGCCTTCAGACGCGGGACCACTTCTTGGATTGAGCGCACATACGATCCGGGCAGGGTGGAGAGCGAGAGAAGGAGACAACGCCCGCAGACAAGAGGGGAGGTGATCATGTTCTGTCAGTGGGAGACCATCCTGAAGCACATCGCAAAGGCCGGCTGCCAGCCCCCGCCGCGGTGGCCCGGCGGCGGCGAGAGATCACGGCTTACGCCCCGCTCGCAACGACCCCCCATGGTCCGTCCTCCCCCCTTCCCCTCTTTCGTCTCCTTTTCCCCCATTCTCCCCCATCTCTGTCTCCTCGTCTTCATCTTCCGCATCTTCCCCCCCCCACTCCTTGCGGTTGGGTGTGTGTGTGTGTGTGTGTGTGTGTGTGTGTGTGTGTGTGTGTGTGTGGGAGGGGTGGGGGGTCCCTCCGACTCCGATGTTTGACCCGCCGGGGGATCTACAAGGATCGAGGGCGTTACTTGTCAAAAGGGTTCTCTCGCCTTGGCGACGCGCACAGTCGTCTTAACAGGTGGTTGCAGCAGCAACAGTGCTAGAGGGCAGCATGTCTCCGCTTGAGACATCCTCTCGAGGTAGCGACGGGAAGTGCAAGATTGTGCAATGGCTGAGCGGACGGGGGACTCCTTCTTCAAAACACGGGGCTCTCATTGGACACCTCGCTGGACTCCACGATCACAGCCTGTCGCACTGCAAGGCGCGTTCTTCTCCCCACGTTGCCCTCGCACGAATGGCGGCCCCACCGGGCGTTCTTCGTTCGAGGGGGCGTTTCCTGTACAGTGAGCGGCTTGAATAAGGAACACTTACTTTTCAAAAGGGGCTCGGTCGTTCCTTAGGCTTGCATGCGTTATTTACAGTTCGTTATGCGTCATTTATTATGTATCGTTTCTTATGCGTTATTCGTTGGAATAAAAAAGGCTTCGTTCCTTATTTATCGTTCCTTAGGTCAGGCCGATGACTGTAGGCTTGCAGGGAGCTGTCAGGATGGGACTCGGGACGGTCGAGTATTGCAGCATCGTTGGCCAGCGTTACGTTGGTTCTTCTCCCCTTCCCCGGGAACGGGGGATTGTGGCGGCCCTCGCCTTTCGGATGGTTTTTTTTTCCGTATGGCTCTCATAAGGTTGTCGCATCATTCCTCCGCTTCCTTCTCCTCTTCCTCCTCGTCTTTTTTCTCCTCCTTCTCTCTCCTGCTTCATCCTCCTCCTCATCCTTGCACAAGTCCTCGTCGTCCTCCTCCCCCTCCCAGAAGGAGCATTGGTTTTGGTGTTCCCCGCCCCCCAATAAATTGGCGTCGTCCCATATATTTTTTTGGGGGAGACACATCCTTGGTGGTGCTTTCCAACGCTACCCCTTTGTGCGGATTTCCAATAGAAGCCCTTTTGGGGTGTTTTCCAATGGATTAGTGTTTAAACGCGTTCCAATCGAATTCCCTTTTGTGGCGCTTTCCAACAGATTCCTGTTGTGAGGAGTCCTCAGGATTCCCACTGTGACGGTTTTTATCTGTTTCTCTCTGTCCTTCCCCAACAACCAAAATGAATGTACATATTTTTTATGTGTGTTTTCTGTTTTTTCGTTGGAGTGGGGAAGCATTTTGTGTTGCTTTTTCCGATGAAATCCTTTGTGCGCGGATTTCCCATCGAATTCTTTGTAGGTGTTTTCCAATGGATTCCTGTTGTGAGGCGTTCCAATAGACCCTTTGCGGCGCTTTCCCAATGATTCCTGTTGTGCAGAGTTCCAATGGATTCCCTTCGTGGTGTTTCCACAGGGTGCCCACTGTGACGGTTCCAATAGATGCCGTTGTGGTGTTTTCCAATTGGTTCCCGTTGTGAGGCTTTCCAGCAAATATTTGCGTACCGCTTCCCAATGGATTCCGGTTGCGAGGCTTGCCAATCGAATCGTTTCGTGGTGTGGTCCAACGGATTATTTTTGTGATGCTTCCCTATGGGATCTCTTTGTGGCGCTTTCCAAAGGATTCCTGTTCTGAGGTTTTCCAGCCGAAGCCGTTAGCGGCGCTTTTTCCATTGCGGGGATTTCCCGTAGAAGCCCGTGGTGGCGCTTTCCAAAGGATCTTCGTTGCGAGACTTTGCAGTACAATCTCTGCGTGGTGCTTTCCAAGGGAGTCCGGTCGTGAGGTTTCCCAATCGACTCCCTTTGCGGCATTATCCAAAGGATTCTTGTTGTGAGGCTTCCTGCTGAAATCCCTCTGTTGTACTTTCCGGAGGTTTCCTTTTTTCGTACGGCCTCTCAATCGGAGCCTTCGGCTGCGTTTCCAAACCAGTTTGCTGGTGTGAGTGTTTTTCAGGGAATCCCTCTGTGGTGCTTTCCGATGGGCTCCTTTTTGTGCGGCTTCCCGGTAGGAACCCTTTAGTGGCGCTTCCCAATTCAATCGAATCTTTGTGTGGGGCTTTCCAGAGGGTCCCATTTGTGGGACTTTGCAAAAAGAGCCCGCCGTAGCATTTTCCAGAAGATTCTTGTCGTGACGCTTTCCAATAGGAGTCCTTCGTGCTGCTGTCCAAAGGATTTCTCTTGTGAGGCTTTCCAATTCAATCTCTGTGTGGTGTCTTCCAGAGGATTCCTGTTGCCATGCGCTCGGGTAGAATCCATTTTGTTGCGCTGTTCAAAGTATCTCTATTGCGAGGCCGTCCAGAAAAAAAAACCTGTTAGATTCCTTGCCGGAGGGTTCCATTTGTTTGTTCCCACGAAATCCGTCTTGCGCGCTTCAAACATGATTTTTCAAAACCAAATGCGTGTTGTTAGACAGCGTTTTCCAGATGCTCCCTGTTGCGAGGCCATGCAATGGAATTCCTGTGTAGCATTTCGCATAGGGTTCCAAGCCCGAGGCCATCCAATCAACTATTTTGTGATGTCCGAAGGTTTCCTCCTGTGATGCGTCCCAACAGAAGCCCTCAGGAGTGTTTTCCAAACGTCTCCGATTATGAGGCTTTCCAATCGAATCCTGTGGTACGGAGTCCCAGCGGATTCCTGTTGCTAGGACATGGGGTATCTTTGTTTCGTTTCCCAGAGGGAATCGCTTGTAACGCTGAAGGAAGGGGATGCGTACAATGCGTATGTGTGAGAGAGGCAAAAGGGACACAGCGAGAGAAGAAACATAAAGATACTTATGAAGACAAGGCTGGAAGCTCGTAAAATCTGCCCTGGCGAAATTCCAGCCCCATGCCGTTAGGCACAGGGCTCGAGTTCCGAGGACCATGTTCGGGAGGGGGGGGGCATTTGTTTGTGAAGAGGCTGGCGAAGAGAGAGAGAGAGAGAGAGAGAGAGAGACAGAACGCGAGAGAGAGAGAGATGGAGGAGAAGAAACTATGAAACTCACGATGAAAAGAACGAGCAAGTCGCGAAAACACTGGGAAGCCATTCAAAACAGCGAGGGCCGCCACAACCCCCCCAGCGTCTCTTCCTACTCCGATTCCTCCTCCTCAGCAGCAGCATCAGCAGCAACAGCATCATTTTTATGATCCGCATCATATTCCGCACCCTGGCCTCCCATCCTCGGCGTATTCCCGCAGTGTTTATCTCATGCTGGTCGCGTGTTCGGTGCAGTCCTGCATGCCGACCCGCTCGCTCTTCACAAAATACCTTCATGCCTTCGTCGACCCAGAACTTCTAGTACACTCTCTCCTCAGCATCAGCATCATCCACATCATCATTGTGTTGACGGCTGCTCAGATGGTTATCGTGACATGATATGACACATGCAAACACATGTACACACATACCTACCTACATACATGCATGCACACATGCCTGTACTTATGCAGGCATACATACATACACACATACACATATACACACGTACACACACGAACGTACGTACACACATGAATGCATACGTAGATACGTGCATACATCCATACTTCTACATGTCTACAATCACGCATGCATGCATTCGTACATGACATACATTCATATATTCGCACATACCTATATAACTACACATGTATATACAATCATCTATGCATACGTACACCCATACATACACACTGCCATACATACATACACGCATACGTACATGCAGGTATGTCTGCATGTACGCATGCACGCATGCATACTTCCATGCACACATGCATGCGTGCATACATACATACATGCATGTATGGATGCAGGCATGCGTCAGTACATATATATATATATATATATATATATATATATGTGTACATACACACATATATAACGCCTAGCCATCCCCAGGCACACGGAGCTTCACGTCCTCATAATGTTTACAGTTTGCCATGATCACCAGTGTGTTGGCAGCAGTACAGCAGACCCTTCCGCGTGCAACCATGGGAACCGCGAGCAAAGCTCCCAAGACTTGCCATGATCTCTATCGTGGCGATCGCCGCCGTCGTCAGTGTTCCACGCCATCAGGTGTCCAGGACCAGTTCAGGAGGAGGAGGAGGAACAAGGAGGAAAGAGAAAAAAGCAGGAGGAGGAACGAGGAGGAATGCCAGGAGGACAAGTGGTGGGAGGGGGGAAGAGGATGGGAAGCAGGGGAAGGGGGATGAGGGTTGGGGAAAGAAGAAGGAGGTCGGGCTGAGGACGACGATGAGGAGTAGGAGAAGGGGAGGGGGGGGGGGGAAAGAGGAAGGAAAAGGGGAGGATGAAGAGGAGGAGGAGTTTCAGAACGAGTATGAGCACGGGCACAAACATCAGTAGTAACACGACCATGAGTCGGAGAGTGAGTCTGTCTATTCTCTCTTTCTTTCCCTCGCCTTCAGGGACACCACAACGAATATCCCTGACACGAATACTTCCTCTCCACAAAACAGATGTTGACCATGTCTGTCTTCTCCCAGCCCAGGGAGACCGTCGTGGGAACAACGGTAATTCGGAGCCAGCTGGAGCCCTCGCAACCATGAAGGACACGAACCGAGATGGCCCCGATCTGAGAACGCACAATCAAGACCTCCGACGTCATGGGCTTCTCACGGCGTGGGCTCCAGAGCTATCGATGCCACCTCTGGGACTGTTTTTTTCCGTCGCGGGCCCACATGCGCCCCCTGTACGCTGAAGTCGAACAGTTATTCATCTTGTGTGGTAAAGCGCCCCCGCCTTGAAACATGTACTTCTCCCCTGGGCCATTCCTGCATCGCGTTCTAGCATATATCTCGGAGCGAATGTGGTCGTGGTGACGAGAGGATCGGGGGAGCCCGAGGATGCCCAGAGGAGACAGCTCGCCCAGGCCCATCGTCGATGCCTTCAACATCTGCGCCCTCGGCCGAACATCGGCCGCGCAGCCGAGGCACAACGCCCCATTGAACATAGGCCTCCCAGAGGGGATCGGAGCAGATGGCGTCGGAGGATCGCGCCGCATCGACGATGCAGCGGCGATGCGGCCCGATGCGGAGCCCGATTTCCTCCGCGCTGGCGTCACCGATGCATCGCTGACGTCGCCGATGCATCGCCGATGCATCGCCGACGCGGCGCGATCCTCGGGAGGCCTCTTACAGACGAGACGAGAGCGTGCTTCTTATGAGAAGGAGGAGCAGGAGGGGGGAGGGGGAGGAGGAGGAGGAGGAGGAGGAGGAGGAGGAAGAGGAGGAGGAGGGCTGCAAGCATCCCCGGCCCAATCGCCGCAGCAGCCGTGAGGCGGCCCCCTCGGCCTCGGCCTCGTGCCCGCGAGGCCTGCCGCGGCCGCGGGCCGAAGCGCCCTCGTGGGCCGTGCTGCCCGCGGACGCGCTCGCGAGGCGGCGGCTACGTGCCCTCGCCTCCTCCTCCTCCTCCTCCTCCTCGTCCTCCTCCTCCTCGTCCTCCTCGTCCTCTCCTCCTCCTCCTCCTCCTCCTCAACCTCCTCCTCCACTTCCTCCTCTTCTACCTCCTCCTCTAGCTCCTGATCCTCCTCCTTTTGTTTGCACGGGCATGGATCTGGGATCGTTGCGTTCTCCTCCTTCTCCTCCTCGTTGTCCTCGTCCTCCTCCTCCTCGTACTCGTCATCCTCGTCGTCGTCGTCCTCCTCCTGTGCCTCCTCCCTCTCTGTCTCCCTCCCGTCCCTCCGCCCCCCTGACTGGTGTCGATGTCAATTCCCCGGGGCCACGACGTCGACCCGGGGGGAAGAGACTTGATGCGTGGATTCGGAGGGCATTCCCCAACTTACGTGCGCTCCTCCTCCTCCTCCTGGTCCGCGGACTCCCCCTCCTCCTCCCCCTCCTCCTCCTCCTCCTCGCCCTTCTCCGCCTCCTCCTCCTCTCCTCCTCCTCTTCTACTATCCTCCGCCTCTTCCTCCTCCCCCTCCTCCTCTTCCTCCTCGTCCTTCTTCTCCTCCTCCTCCTCCTCCTCCTCCTCCTCCTCCTCCTCCTCTTCTACTCTCCTCCGCCTCCTCATCCTCCTCCTTCTCCTCCTCCTCCTCCTCCTCGTCCTCCTCCTCCTCCTCCTCCTCCTCCTCCTCCTCCTCCTCCTCTCCTCCTCCTCCCCTCCCCCTCCCCCTCCCCCTTCCCTCCTTCTCCTCCCTTCACGGCGGCGGCAGGTGCTGGTCGAGCTGGGCGAGCCTGCCCCGCTGGTGCTCAAGGGCAGCATGCTCCAGCGCCAGCACACCATCCGCAACTTCGTGCACTCCGCTGCACCCGGCCTAGGGGAGCACGCGCCGTCCCTCTCTCCTCCTCCTCCTCCTCCTCCTCCTCCTCCTCCTCCTCCTCCTCCTCCTCCTCCTCCTCCTCCTCCCCTCCTCCTTCTCCTCCTCCTCCTCCTCCTCCCCCTCCTCCTCCTCCTCCTCCTCCTCCTCCTCTCCTCCTCCTCCTCCCTCCTCCCCCTCCTCCTCCTCCTCCTCCTCCTCCTACTCCTCCCTTCTCCTCCTCCTCCCCCTCCTCCCCCTCCTCCTCCTCCTCCTCCTCCCTCCTCCTCCTCCTTTTCCTCTTTCTCCCCGTTCTCCTCCTCCTCCTCCTCCTCCTCCCTCCTCCTCCTCCTCCTCCTCCTCCTCCTCCTCCTCCTCCTCCTCCTCTTCCTCCTCCTCCTCCTTCCCTCCCTCCCCCTCCTCACCCTTCTTTTCCTCCTCCTCGCCTTGCCCCTGCTACCTGCTACCTCTCCTCCGCCTCCTCATCCTCCTCGTCTTGCTCATCGCATCATCACCGTCATCATCATCATCCATCCCTGCCTTTCTCCCTCCTTCCCGAGAACGTTGCACCGTTCCGCGTCTTGATTTTGCTTGTGCTCTGAACGTCGTACAAAGAGCATGTGTGTCGACATGTTTGTCGCCTTGTGTTCTTTCTTCAAAGTTCGCCTGTAGGAGCACATGCCCGACTTAAGCGTTGCCGTCATCCATCTGCGTTGGAACGTGTTGAGATTGTTGCGTGCCTCCAGTCGGAAATTGGAGCATATACATTGCTAGTGGCGGGCTGTTTTTCAATCCCAGGACTTGTTGAGTGTCGGGGACGACGTCAGGGGTTGTGTGGTGTATAATGTTTTACCCGTTTTCCGGGGGAAAAGACGAAACATGTACACACCAGGATCCCGTATACACCAGGATCCGCTTTCTTGTGCGAGTTTCAGTGCGGGGCCGGACTCCTCCATGGACTTGTTTGGGACCGTTAAACACATGATCTCTAATGGCAGATAGTCCGTGGGAAAGGGTCGAGAGTTCGAAGGCCCACGCATTGAATGAACCAGGGCAGCGTAGGTCATCGCCCACCGTTTTTGCTCCCCTCCCTCTCTTCCCATGCGGGCCTCTGGAGATCTCCTGAGAGGCTTCCACGGGGACATCCAGGGTTCGGAGAGATCCAGGCACCGCCTTCGGAGACCTCCAGGAACCTTTGGAGGCTTGGGGAACTCCTCTGATTTACCATTACACGTACCATCATAAGTAGCATCATCACTATTGTTGATACCGTACGCATTCAGCATCGAAATCCCCACCCGCATCAATAGCATCACTATTATCACCATCATGAGTCCTGTCAATATTCCCATCATCATCATCATCATCATCATCATCATCATCATCATCATCATCATCATCATCATCATTATCATCGTACTCGTCATCTTGAACAGCATCATCACCATCATTCTTCTACTCAGCAGCAACACCCTCAGCATCCAAAGCATCATCATCAGCATCGCCATCTGCATCAATACCGTCATTATCGTCATCAGCATCACCATCCTCGCCCATCATCATCATCAGCATCACCATCGTCATCAGCATCAGCATCGCCATCATCACCATCGTCATCAGCATCACCATCATCACCGTGGTTACCATCGTCGTCGCCATCATCGTCTTCCTCCCCCTCATCTTCTTCTTCATCATCATTGACATCTTCATTCCTGCTTCAACTCCTCTTCACCCCCCTTCTCCTGCTCCACCTCATTCTTCTCCCCGCCCTCCTCGATCTCATCGTTTTTGCGCCTGTGCCTTCGTGCGGGTCCTTGCGGTTACCTTCCTCTTCCTCCTCCTCCTTTTACTCCTCCACCTCCGTCTGCTCCTCCTCGTCATCCTCTTTACCCCCTGCCTCTTGCTCGTCCCTCTCCTCGATCTCCTCTTCGTCCTTCTCGCAACCACTCTCCCGCTCCCGGTTAGATAAGAGGCACGTGTTCTCCCCCCTTTCTTCGGCCCCTCTTCCTTTGAAAGGCCGCGCCAGATTGCACAGGCCAGCTAGAAAGCCAGTGTTCGATAGTAGCGTTCGGCGAGGGCTTACTCGGTCTCCTTCCTCTCCTGCTCCCCTTCTCCTCTTCCCCATCCCCCCTTCTGTAACTGGTGGTGTTGGGAGGCCCACCGGATGCCTGCGCTACGTGGCGTGCTTGAGATCCTTTTTTTGGTCAAGCTCAGGCTTGTCCCGGGCTTGCGCATCCGCCTATTTTAGTCGTTCCGCGCTCTGCGCTGCAGCTGCTGTTGGGCTGGCTCTCGCTCGCCTCGTTGTCAACTGCATGGTGTACATCGGGGTGCGCTACTCGCCCAGTTATGGTGTGTGTGTGTGCGATTGGCGTTGGTCAGGGCTGCTGCGCAAGCTTTCGTCTTGTGGCGTTGCTGCGGAAACTTCTCTCACTTGGCCCTTGCCTTGTCCTGTCCCTGCGTATCATCTCTCTCTTCCTTGTTTCCCCGTTGTGGCTGTGCTCGGGCCTATCCTGCCGCGAACCGCTGCGCAGCGAGTTCGTGACAACCGAGACGCTGAGTTGCAGCCTTTTTGGTCTCCTGTGTGGCCTATTGATGCGCGCAGGCGTGTCAAAACCATTCGAACCCCGATGTAGGGCCCTGTATTCGTCAGTCCTTCGTCGTCGTCCTCCTCCCGTTCCTCCTCCTCCTCCTCCTCCTGCTCCTCCTCCTCCTCCTCCCTCTTCTCCTCCTCCTCCCTCTCCCTCTCCCTCTCTCTCTCTCTAGTTTCACGCTCTCTCAGCTGTGCGGTGCAATAGACAAGCCCAGGGCATTCAGGCTTTATGCATCGACTCACGCTTGTGGGAGGGGAGAACGTGGGTCCTCCTCGCAGGCGCTCGGCAATTGTCATGTCTGGTATTTCCATGGAACGCGCTCGCACTCATATCTCGGAGCCAGTACGCGTTTTCGTCTCCTCGTCGTCCTCCGCCTCCTCCCCCTCCTCGTCCTCCCCCTCCCGTTCTCCCTCTCTCGTTCTCGTCCTCGTTATTTCTCTCTCTCTCTCTCTCTCTGTATCTCTCCCTCTCTCTCGTTCTCCCTCCCCCTCTCTCTGACACTAGCTCTCCACATATGTTACAATAACTGTCTATCACTATCCCTCTCTCTGCATCCCTCCGTGTATGTCTGTATATTTATAAATATATAGACATACATGTGCATCATTTGTCCTTCCAATATCTCTCTCTCTCGCAAACTCTTTTCTCTATAGTACCATCTGAAGACGGAGGAGGACGGAGACGACAACGAAAAGACTACGCACGACGCACGACGGCGACGGAGAGCACAACGACACCGACGACCGACCGACGACGACGACGACGACGACCAACCGGCCGGCCAGTCGACCGACTGGCGACGAACGACGGTCGACGACAACGACTGCGCGACGAAGCTGACGACGACGCCCACGACGACGCCGACGAGCACCACGACCGGGGCGACAAGCACGGCGACGACGACGACGACGACGACGACGACGACGACGACGACGACGACGGCGCACGGCGCACGGCCGACGGCGCCGACGGCGACGGCGACCGCGTCGGCGACGACCTCCGCAACCGCTCGGCTCCAGCCGGCGTCGGGTGTTGCGCCCCGGCCCGTGCACCAAGCAGGCCTCTGCGGCCCGGCCGAGCCTCGCCGCCCCGCAGACGCCTCTCGGGAGGGACCCTCCTCGGGGGGTGCGCCGCGCCGCCCGGCGAGGAAAGGGCAGGCGAGGAGGACGAGGCGGAGGATGTCGAGGGGGGAGGGGGGCAGTGGAGCAGCAGGAGGAGGAGACAGAAGAATGAGGAGAAGGGAGGGGAGGGAGGAGCAGGAGGAGGAGGAGGAAGAGGAGGAGAAGCAGGAGGAGGAGGAGGAGGAGCAGGAGGAGGAGAAGCGATGATGATGATGATGATGATGATGATGATGATGATGATGATGATGATGATGATGATGATGATGATGATGACGATGCTGAGCTTGATGATGGTGATGATGATGAGGATGGTGGTGATGCTGCTGATGATGATAATGTTGATATATGGTGATGGTGATGATGATGATGGTTATGATGATGATGACGATGATGGTGGTGGTGGTGATGGTGATGGTGTTGTTGATGATGATAATGATGTTGATGCTGATGCTGCTGATGATGATGGTGCTGGTGATGATGCTGAGGCAGATGTTTATGGCGATGGTGATACTGATGTTGATGCTGATGCTGATGCTGCTGCTGATGATGCTGCTGATGTTTATGATGATGGTGATTATGATGATGGTGTTGATGCTGTTACTGCTGCTCCTGGCTGGTGATGATGATACTGATACTGATACTGAAACGGATGATGATCTTGATGATGATGTTGCTGCTGCTGCTGATGATGCTGATGATGATGATTGCTATGGTGATGATGCTTAGGGGGAGGAGGAGCACATGGAGTAGGAGGAGTAGGAGCAGGAGAAGGAGCGAGGATGATACGCAAGGAGAAGGAAGGGGAGGTTGGAGCACGAGGATGAGGAGCAGGATGAGGAGGAGGAGGAGGAGGAGGAGGAGAAGAGGAGAAGAGGAGCAGGAAGGGCAGGAGGAGGAGGAGAGGAAGCAGGAGAAGGAGGAGGGGAAGAGGAGGATGAGGAGGAGAAGGAAAAGGATGATGATGATGAGGAGGAGGAGGAGGAGGACGAGGCGGAGGAGGAGGAGGAGGAGGGAGGGAGGGAGGGAGGGAGGGTGGGAGGGCAGAGGAGTGGGAGAATGAGTATGAGGGGGACGTGATGGAGAGAGGAGCGGGGGGTGGGGGAGGGATGGAGAAAGGGAGGGGGGAGGAGAGGAGGAGGCGGAGGCGGAGGAGGAGGAGAGGAGAGGGAGGTGGGGAAGAAGCATGAGGAGGAGGAGGAGGAGAAGGAGGCGGAGGATGAGGAGGATGAGGCCGAGCAGCAGGAAGACGGATCAAGAAGGAGGAGCAGGAAGGGGGAGCAGGAAGGAGGACTGGAGGATGTTGGAGACGAGGGAGCGAGAGAGAGAGAGAGAGAAAGAGAGAGAGAGGATGGAGGAGGGAGGGAGGAGGGAGGGAGGAGGGAGGAAGGAGGAGGGAGGGGGTCCGCGAGGAGCCCCAGAGGTTCCGTCCCTCAGCAGCGGTTCCCGCAGTGGCTCGGGCGCCATGGAGGTGTTCCTGTTCATCCTGGGCTATCCAGTTGCGCTGCCGCGCATTTCCGTGGGGGCAAAGCGAGGTGTTTCGACGTGTCGATGCACGTTCACTGGTTTCAGAGGGCCTCCAGAGGCCTCTGGGGACCTCCAATGGAGGGGCTCCAATGGAAGGATTGTCGGAGGTGCATGGAGGCCTCCAGGGAGTCAGACCTCTGGCGGCTAGAACAACTCGCGCCGGATACTCTCCGCCGGTTTCGGCATTTGGAGGCCGTTTCCGTGGCCCTGGGCCGGAACACATGCCCGGGATGAAGCTACGTTAGTTACGGAGTTGGCTCATGTCCAGAACACACGAGGACGTGCCTTTGGTGGCGAGGATGTGTGGCGAGGAAGTGACATCCCTGCCACGACACGGGAGCGTGAAGCGCACAGATACCACACCCTTTCGCACCGACTCGGGCGGCCAGGAAGTGCCACCGCTGCCACGTCCTGGCAGCGTGAAGCGGATAAAAACCGCACACCGCCCGCATCCCCTTCTGACGGCGAGGAGGTGCCACCCCTGCTGCGTCCTGGACGGTGAAACGTGTGGAGACCGCACCCCGCGCGCAAACCCCTCTGGTGGCGAGGAAGTGCCACCGCCGCCACGCCCTGGGAGCGTGACGCGGATATGGAGAGCGCACCCCATGCGCCCCCCCTCTGGTGGTGAGGAAGTGCCACTCTTGCCACTCGCTGGAAGCTTGAAGCGGATAGAGGCCGCACACCGTTAGCACCCCCCTTTGGTGGCGAGTAACTGTCACCCCTGCCTCGCCTTGGACGTATATGTGTATGGGTCTGCGCGCGTGTACGGCTTATGCCTGTGCATGTTTGTTGGTGTTTGGACATGTGTGGAGAAGGAAGTCTGCGAGGCGTGAGAGGTGTCGCGGGTGCAGCGGGAGCGGGGGGAGGAACACCAGAGCCCCATTGAAGTTTTTGTGTGAGGAAACAGTCGAAAGCTCCCGGGGCAGGCGACTCGAACACATCGAGTCATGGGAAGTCCACACATCCAGCTCGCTCGCCGCTAATTAGTTTGTTCGCAAGCAGCCAGGCAGTGCAGCACGACGCATGGGCTCCGCCAGGGGAAAAGGCCAGCCGCGCAGGAAGCGGCACTCTGAGGTCAGGGAGTCCACTCGAGCACAGATGGGGCGCTCCAGAAATCGCCTCGCCTTTTAGGATCGAAGGAGTCCTCAGCTCCTCCTCGGCGGAAGGCGGCGGAAGCTGACGCAAGTAAGAGATGCGCCCCCGAGAGATGGCAAGGTCTCTCGGCTCAAGGCTTCCAGGGTCGGCCATATGGGGTCAATGGCTGTCCATGTGCTGCAAAGCGCGGGCGCCGGAGAATAACATCACGAGCACGTCTGTTCACGTTTCGGGCTTTTGTGCCCTCTCGGATCTACCCGCCTCGAGAAACGCCACAGAGATGTGTGGTCGACAGCTCTGGCCGTGCTCACCGATCGCGGCGTACGCTTTCCCCACGGCGTCGGATCTAGGGATGTCTTTCGGGCGCCCCAAAAACGTGTGGATTTGAGCTGGGCTTGTCTTCACGCGTCGCACTTCGACCGTTGTTCCCGGCACGCACACACAAACATTCTGCACGAACGAAATGGGCACGGAAAGAATGGGTACGATGCCCAACAACGGATCTTGTTCATTTTGAACAGGACTCGCTGTCCACGCCGCCGCGGCCTGTGTCCATTCGAAACAGAAGGCCGCCTGCCCAACAGCGGCCGCTGTTGGTTTGGGAAAACATTTGTTGCTGGGCATTGTACCCATTCTTTCCGTACCCATTTCGGGCGTCCAAAAACATGTAAACCTACACACAGAAGCCGCGGCACAGCGCGGTCGCGGACTACGTCCACCTGGCCGCCTCCTGCTTGCTGTTCTACAAGATCTGGAAGCAGAAGTCCATCTACGGCCTCAGCGTGGACACGCAGTGCGCCTTCCTCCTGGCCGCCGTGGTCCGCTGCGTCTGGTCGCTGGAAACGCGACTGGTGGAGTCGGCCGTTGTAGGTTTTCAGGGGGGAAAAAACACACAGACACAATTAATCGTCGATTCCCAGGAAAATATGGGAAAATATGAGGAGTGGGGAGGAAGACAAAAACCCAGAAACTATGTGAACATATGGGGAATATTTTTATTTGTGTGTATTTATTTGTGTGTCCCAGGGCCCCTTCAAGGTTTCTTCGTCTACCTGGAGCTGCTCCTGTCGACCGTCGCGGCCTGCGGGCTCACCTTCCTGTGTTACCAGCTCTACCACACCACCTCGAAGCACTCGACGCCCTTCCTGCGCGTGTACGCCACGGCGCCCGCCTCCCTGGTGCTCGCCTTCTTCTTCCACCCCGGGGAGCTCGGCGGGCGGCCAACCCAGACATCCGACGCGTTGACCTGCCCCACACGGGGCCCCCAGAAGTTCCGACCCTGCTTCTCCATCCCGAGGCGCTCCTTGACGGCCCCTTGCCTGGCGAGGGCCCCCAGGCGGCCGAACATTGCACGAAACCCTCAAACGCGATCTGTTCGCGGCGCGAGCATGCCTGGGAAGAGCGGGGGCAGGACGGAGGGGGCAGGCCTTCTGAGAAGCCCCCCCGCCCACTTGAGGACCCCCCGCCTTCCCGAGAACAGCCTCCTCGGGCCTCCTCGGGGACGGGGCCGAGACGACCCCGCCTCATGTCAGAAGGCTCGTAGGTTGACGAGTCCCCCGCCCCCCACCCTGCCAGGTCGCACGGCGAATCGGCCTCGCTCGATTCTTGTGAGGCGGACGCTGCCGCAGTGTTCCCAGGCCTGCGCCCGCTGGGTCCAGTGCCTGGTCGTATTCGTTCAAGGGTGCTCTGCGCAAGGGGGGGACATCTGCCCACCCCCGAAAGAAGGGCGCCTCCCCGGTTCACAATGCCCCCCCTCACAGTACCCCTGGCGTCGTGTTTTTTCGCTGCGTGGAGCCCGCAGAGGTCTAGACCACTCCCATTAGGCCAGCTTTTCGTCCCGAGCCCCTGTGAGGTCTGACGTGTCAAAAGCAAATTGCATAATTGCGAAGCATCACGACCAGACCCCCAGACCCCATCCATCTGGTCAGGTTTTCGAGCCGATCGATCTGTGAGGGTCCCAGGGCCCGAACGGAAGCGCAAACGCCCGACTGGAAAAAATGGAGTCTGCAGGATCTCGTGGGAGGTTCAGACTCCTCCCCTGAGGCCAGCTTCTCGGCCCGAGTCGTTTTGTTGGCTGCCGTGGGCCGGGCGGAGGCCCCCGCATCGTGGGCGACAAGCACATATCTTCATCGTCAAGCCAGGCAGATAACCTGTGCAGACATATCTGAATTCAAAGGCACGCATACATGGGGCTGGCGGAGGCTAGGCCTGAGCGAGCGCCACGTCGTCAAGCGACACCTTTGTGCGCAGCCGCTTCGCGGGCCGGATGGCCTCCCACGCCACCGCCTTGGGCGGAGGGGGGACATCTTCCAGAGAAGAAACCAGTTTCTGGCGACAAGCTCCCCGCGCGGATGCCCCGCGCGGGTGACCCTAGGCTCAAGTCGGGCATGTCCCTCTGCAGGAGGAAACTTCAAAAAGAGTTAAAAAGATAGTAGGGGGACGCTTTTTCGATTATGTTTGGACTATGTTTGAATAATTTTTGGTGTATTTTTTTGATTTTCGGCTCTGGGGCCGTCTCGGGACTCTTTTGGGCCGTCTTGGGGCCCTCTTGGGGGCCTCTTGGGCCGTCTCGGAGCGGTTTTGGGAGCCTCTTGGGCGGTGCTTCAGCGCCGGAAACGCGAAACAACGAGAATCCAAAGAAACATTGAAAAACCACTGCAAGTCAATGAGTTTGCCCTCTCGGGGCGCTCTTGGGCGGCATCCCAAAGGCCTCTTGGGGCGTCTTGGGGGCCTCCGGGGCAGTTTAAAACGCATCATGCGTCGCCAGAGACCCCTGGACGGCGTCTTGGGGGTGTCTCGAGACCGCCTGGGGTCCCAAATCCGCCGCCCGAGATCTCTAAGAGGCCCTGAGCACTCACTGGGACCCCCGAGATCTCAAAGAAGCCCCCCCCCCCAATATATATATATATAACATATATAATATACATATATATATATGTACATATATATATATATATATATATGTAGATGTAACATATATATATATATATATATATATATATGCATGGAGGGGGGCACGCCCCACTTAAGACAGGCACGTCCGCACATCCGCGGCCTCGCGGGCCAGGCCCCGAGGCCGCGAGTGTCGCGCGGGCGCCCCGCGCGGCGGCCCCGCGCGGGTGGCCCTGGGCTCAAGTCGGGCCTGTCCCTCCACAGGAGGGTATAGCCAGGACCCCGGATAAGGGGACCCGGTTCGTAGTAGGGCCCCGGAGCCCCTAAATTGGCCAGAGTCACTAAACCAGGTCTGCCGCAGCTGGTGTTTTTTCGGGCGACGGCAGATCCGGTTAGTGGAACGGGGCGGGGGGGGCGTCCCCAGGTACACATTACTAAACCAGGTCCCACGAAACCCAGTTCTGCCAACGCCCGATATAGGAGGAATATGTGTTTTTTACATAAAAATAGTCCCACCAAAAATAGCCTGGTGCATTTTTTATGTTATTGTTTGACTCGTTTTCGGTAGTTGTTGGTTCTGTTAATATCTGTTGTCCAAAATCTGCCTGTAGGGGGACATGCCCGACAGAAGCTCGAAGTCGGGCGTGTCCCTCTTCAGGAGGAAAAGTAGTTGAACATACCCATCGGTCGTTGAACATAGGTACTTCTGGGTTCCCAGATTCCAATCTACTTTTGGCGCCTTCCTACTTCAAGGATCGACTGGCTTCCTCCTTCCCTCCTCTTCAGGGGGCGGGCGGAGGCCCAGTCTACCTCCAATGCCGTCATACTTCATGTTTCTACCTACTTCTTCCGACCGATGGGCAGTCCAACACAAATAGCCTGGGGACGCTTTTTCAATTATTTCTGGAATAGTTTGAGGTAGTTGTTGTGGGTATTGTGATGTGTCGTTCAGAATCCGCCTGTAGGGGGACATGCCCGACCGAAGCTGAAGTCGGGCATGTCCCGCTACATGCGTACTAGGCAATGATACTAAGAAGTAGTCTGGTGACGAGTTGTCGTGTTCTTGTTTTGACTGTGTCTGATGCGTGTTGACTATGTTTTACCTCTCTTCCGAAGTCCGTCTGTATGAGGACACGCCCGTCCTAACCCCAGGTGTTGTTTCGCGGATTGATGCCCCGCGGAAGAAATCCCTTGAGATCTTGGCGACTCAGTTTTTTCGAGCCTGGCGTTTTCGCTCCATTTCGGACCCCGGGACCCTCACAGATCCATCCGGTCCAAAACAATTAGGCAGAAAGATGGGGTCAGGGGGTCCGTTCCTGATTTTCTGCGATGTTGCATGTGTTTTGCAGCGTCGGATCTCAGGGTCCGTGTGACCGCGTATGCGCGGGATCGCGCGCTGGAGTCCAGACTGCGAGGGCGCGGGTACGGATACAGTGGTGGCCCATGCCAAGAAACGCCCTGCTCGCCTCCAGGGTGCCCTGGGTTTCTTGGTTTCGATGCTTTTGCCATGGGAAGAGTGACGTTCCCACACCAAGAATCATTGGACGTCCTGAGGTCTCAGGGTTGGGTTTCTTGTGGAAGGATTCTTGTGGTCGGGCCCCTACTGTAGGTTCGCCGCCGATCATGACCGAAGGCTGAAAGATTCGGAAGACGTCCCGCTGTCTGTGTTCTTTTCACGGCGCCAGGGGGCCAGGGCCCCCCGGCGCGCCGCCGAGGAGGGCTGGATGTCGATGCAGATCTTGGTAGCCTTCACCATGTACATCGAGGTGCTGCGTTTGACTTACTCGAAGAAGGAAAAAACGCGATAAACATAAAATGTTGGCGCTCCGCGCGGATGTCTTGGATCCGTGCTGGGTCCCCCTGGCGGCGCCGCCGCGCGCCAGGGAGGGGGTTCCAGCGCAGATCCAAGAAACCCGCGCGAAGCGCCACAAGTTTCTGTTCATGGCGTTTTTGTTTCTGAACCCTCCTGCGTTCCATTCTCATTTTGAGTAGAGCACTGCGGTAACCACTCTTTCCTTCCTGCCTTCCTCCGTCTTGCTTCCCTCCCCCTCTTCTCTCCTGCCCTCTATCTGGCATGCAGCTGCCTGCAAGCCTGCCTCTTACACCGGCGTCCTATGTTACCTCACCATCCCTGGGAGGCTGCGATCTGTGAGCCTGACGCCGCGTTCGAGGGCTGCTGGGGGCCCAGCGGAGCGAGGCCCCGCAGCAGATTCAGACTAGACCTCGCGATCCTGGGAGGACGGCGAAGCGTGAAACTGTCGCCCTTTTCGATGGTTGCGGTTGGGGTCCAGCGGATTGGGGCCCCGACGCAGAGTCAGATTCGACCTCGCCATCCTTGTGGGGCTGCGAAGTGTGAAACTGTCGCCACTCGAGGGCTGCCCGGGGGGTCCAGCGGAGTGAGGCCCCGCCGCAGATTCAGATTAGGCCTCGCCATCCTTGTGGAGCTGCGAACTACGACATTGTCGCCACTCCCGGGGGCTACGCATATTCAGATTGGACCTCGACATCCCTGAGTGGCTGCAAGTTGCGAAGCTGTCGCCACTCTCGAGGGCTGCTGGGGGGTCCAGCTGAGCGACGCGCTACGCAGACTCAGACTAGACCTCGCCATCTCTGGGGGGCTGCGAAGTTCGAAACTGGCGCCACCTTCTAAGTCAGCTGGTGGGTCCAGGATAGCGACGTCCTTCGCGGACTCAGATTCGCATTGGTTTCCTTCCCCGCGGGCCGCTCGGAGACCTGGCGGCGCGCCTGCGGGCGTTTGGCCCCCGCGCTGCAAAAGAAGGACCCGGCGAACCGGGCGGGCGAGTTCGGCCTCGCTCGTCTCTTGCAGTGGCGATCCTTTGGAGAGCCAGCGCGAGATGGCGCGGGCCGCATGGCTTGTCCAGCGTGCCAACGGGAAACGGTTGCCATCCAGCCTTCCTCGTCCTGCCTTTGTCGTTGTAGCCTTCTTCCTCCTTGTCACCGTCTCGCTGCTGCTGTCGCGCGAACCTTTTGTTTGGCCTCTCTTCCGTCCTTCGCTTGCCTGTCGTTTCCGCCCCCCCGTTTCTTCTGCGCGTTTGGGGCGTGAGTCATCCTCCTTCTGTTGTTGTCCGAAGAGTCGTGCAACGCTCGCGCTGTCCATATAGATTGCACAGCCCATAACAGACCATGCGTTGCCATCAGCGATACTGTTCGGGTCTAGCCCCTCTTGTCATCTAGTCCAACTGGGTTGGTGCGCGGCAGGGTTTTTTTGTTCGAGTAGCCTTGCACACGTCTCCTGTTGTCTGGATGGGTGCCTCGACTGTGTGTTCTAGCAGCCCGCCTGTCTGCCCCTTGCGTGTTGCCTTTGTGTGCGCGATCGGGGGCAAGGATGACACATCCGCGGGCTGACCTGGGCATGGTTCGCAGTGGAACGTTGTTGGCAGCCTCTCGCTTTGAAACAGCAGTAAGACATGTGAACGCTTTGTTATTTATGGTTTCGCCGATCGGCGCGGGCCCTCGCCCCCCCCACCCATGGAGCAGATCTTGGCTGTTTCCGGCGCCTGCTTCAAGCAGGTGGAGCCTCCTCCCCCCTAGGACGCATTGCTGCAGACAGACGCATGAAGCAGAGGTCCGGAGCCAGATCCCCCCCCCCGCCTCCCCCCCCCCGGGGTGTTGCCAGAAGTATCCCGTTGCCCAAGGTACCCCCAGCATGTCGCTCCATTTTGGAGCCCCTGGGGCCCTCTGGGCCTCGTGAGGGGTGCCCATGGAGGCCGGCTTGGCCGCCCCGAGAATCCTGGGGGTACCTTGGGCCAGGGGCGCTTCTGGCAACACCCGGACCTCCCGCCCAATGCCGAGCCGCCGCCTGAGAAAATGCTCTCGCCGTGCAACTCTCGGGGGTGGACAGACCTCCTACCCTGACACGTCGATGAAGGAATTGGCCGTTTTCGGTTCGCGAGAGTGCGTCGCGGCCGTCATTTTTGCGGGTCCAGGTCCGTCGGTTTCGGTCCCAGGTCGTTCTCACCGAGGGGAGGTCTACGAAAGGGAGGTTTGTCCACCGCCGAGAGCCGCCGCCTGAGAGAAAGCGCTCCCTCGCCGTGCCACTCGAGGCCCTGGCGCTCCTGCCCCAGCTGTGGCTGATGCGGAAGATGCACGAGGCGGGGCGCCGCCGCCCTCGGCCTCCGGCCTTGGCCGCGATCGATCGTCGTGCCTCGGGAAGGGGGGAAAAAATCACAGTCAACACGTATCGTCCATTTCCAGGAAAACATCTGGGGGAATACAGTCGGGGCCCTGAAGAAGGAACCCTTTTCGCTGGGGAGGAGCTCCGCGTTCCTTAAGTGTTTCGCAGCCTGCCTCAGGTTTTCCTCATGTTTTCGATCGCAAATCGAAGTTTAGCGTATGGAAAAAAGGGGCCTCGTTCCTGATTTAGGGTTCCTTAGGTCAATGCCCCGACTCTATGGGAAGTTGGGGGGAAGGCGAAAACCCAGAAACTACGGGACCATCTGGGGGATCCTGGGGTTTGTGTGTATTCATATTTCGCCCAGCTCTTAACTGGAAGAGGCTCGCTCTCGACCCGCAGACCAAAACAAGTGTATTTATATTTGTGTGTCCTTGGGCCCCTTTAGTGCCAGGGGCAATGTCGAGGGGCGTGGGCTCGCAGGACTCCCTCCGACCCCTCCGACCCGATGCGGCTCGATCTCCATCGATCCCGATTCCCAGTACGATTCAATTCGATGTTTGTCGGTCTTGCTTCGGTTCGTTTTTGCTTCGATTCTGCTTCTGCGATTTGATCGAATCGATTCGGCTTGGATGCCGGTTTGTCGATGGCGGCTGTACTGGCCTGCCCGTTCCGGCCGACCCGACTCCCCCCGACCCGGTTACCGATCTCCGCCGACCCGCTTCCTTCCGATCGCCGGTCCGATTTGTCGGTTCGACTCTGGGCTCTCCAGGGCTGGACCTAGACGCTGTTTGCTGGACTTCGACTGTGCTTGGTTTTTCGTTTCGGCAGGGAGGTACAGGAAAACAGCTAGAACAAAACAAAAAAGAATAGCACGAAAGCAGAACGACCAACAGCGTTTGGGTCCAGCTCTGGGGCTCTCCCGCCTTTGATGGCCGATGAGGGCCCGATAGCCTACCCCGCCCTGGAGCGCCCGGGTCGCCATCGGAGGTCTACTCCAGATCGGCGTGTCCCCCCCCCCCCCCCCCCGAGCCAGTCCCCCCCCCGCCGTTCCCCCCTTCGAGGTGGGGGGCCGCCCGCGGTCTCGGCCTGGTCTGATCGATCGTGTCCCAGCGTCGGTCGTGCCGATCAGTGCGCGCCGATCTTGTTCGATCGACTGCTCCGACTCCGACATACAGTGAAGACCCATGTCAAGAAACACCACGGTTGCCTCCAGGGTGCCCTTGTTTTTTTGGGTTTCGATGGTCTTGCTGTGGGAAGCGTGACGTTCCACACCAAAAGTCAATTGACGTCCTGGGGGCTCAGGGTTGGGTTTCTTGTGGAAGGTTTTTTGTGGTCGAGCTTTACTGTTCAACCACTTGCGAACCCTGTCCCGGCGGCTTCCACCGACGCTGGGGTATCGGACACCCCTGCTGGGGTTCATTTGGTTGCAGACGGCCTGTGGATTCTGAACCCCAGCTGGCGTTTCCGAAATCTGACCTGTAGGGGAAGGGCTCGCATGTGGTTGCCTGTCAGATTCTGGCGCTCACATCGATCCGCCTTGATTCGGTCGCGCTGTCGGTCCAATCCGCGCTGCATGCTTAGCTATTCAATCGCGGGCGTTTTCGGATCGAAGGTGGAGCCTCTGACGTCGCACTACGTTGGGCTCATCGTTTGTGCGCGAGTAATCCGCATGATCTTCTGGGGGAAGATGTTCATGTTAGGCGAGCACTTCCTGCAGCTGTTCTTCGCGGACGTGCTGCACACGATCATGTCGGCGGACTACATGTACCTCTGGTTGAGGAAACTGAAGGACGGAGGGCGCTTGATCTACAGCCAGAGCGTCTGACTCGCCAGTTTTACGACGACAGCATCTGAGCGGCCTTTAGTTTGCAGTGGGGGGACGGCTCGGCACCGTCGCAGGCTGCAGCGACTCTTGTTGGAGCACGGCCTCTCTGAAGTTTTGCTGCTGGAAAAAAACACGTCCCGCCCATCCCACCCCCCCGGGACTCGGCCTCGCTCTGGTCTCTGGGGAGGGGGCGGCTGGTCCCTGGGGAGATGACGGAGGAGGAGGAGGAGGCAGAGGAGGAGGAGGAGCAGGAGGAGAAGGAGGAGGAGGAGGAGGAGGAGAAAGGGAATGCCAGTTCGCCAGGTGAGAAGTTGCCTTGCACCCTGGGGTGAGGACTGCACAAACCCCTGACGGGCGGCCAGCTCAGCCCTGCCATACGGATTTTTGGCCACACGCCTCGGCCAAGTCGGTTCACATGCTCGACCCCTTCCTCCTCCTCCTCCTCCTCCTTCTCCTCCTCCTCCTCCTCCTCCTCCTCCTCCTCCTCCTCCTCCTCCTCCTCCTCTTGTTTGTGTGGCACGCCATCTGCATGGCTCATGAACTTCGCCGGCTCGCCCTTGCTGGAGAATGAGACGCATGCCTTCCAAAGCCACAGCTTCTGAGTGGAAAACACGGGTTCATGCTGTGACCACCGTGGGCCCGGTCCCTTGCTGCGTGGAGACTGCCACTCATGGGCTTGGTGTGATACCGACCAGTTATATTCAAGGGCTTGATTGAAACACGGGCTCGCTTTATTCTGACTGGCCGTGGCCAACGCAGCTCCCCCAAGACACCTCAGGCAACGGAGGCCCCCGTCGTCTGAGGAAAGGTTGGTGGCGAAATTGGTGGCTACCGACACAGAAGTTGGGAGGGGGAGGAGGAGGACGATGAGGAGGAGGAGGAGGAGGACGAGGAGGAGGACGAGGATGAGGAGGAGGAGGGGTCTCGTTCTTCCTCGGAGCCCCTCCCGCCTAGAAGCAGTCGAGAGTCGCACGCAGCAGCCGATGTCGTAGAAGGTATGCTTACCCCTCGATCGCCTGGAGCCTATGTCGATCAGCGGCTGGGGCTCCTACCTCGAGGGCCGTTTGCCCCGCTAGGGTGTCGATGACTGTATCGCCTTGGCCTTGCCACAGCTCCGCTTCGCCGTCGAGGTCCGCTTCCCCGTCAAGGTGCGAGTGGACCAGATGTCGGAGGGGGGGGGGAGGAGGAGGACGACGAGGAGGAGGAGGAGGAGGAAGAGGAGGAGGGAGAGGAGGAGGAGGAGGAGGAGATGGAGGAGGAGGAGGAGGTGGAGGAGGAGGAGGAGGAGGAGGAGGAGGAGGAGGAGGAGGAGGAGAGGCCCCTCCCCCTCGCATCAGCGCTGGTGGGATCGGGATACTCCTCGGTTGTTCAACCATCGAAGACGGGCTTGCAGTCCGTAGTGAAAGCCGTGACGCCATCGGCTGAAAAGATTGTGAGCCACAGCGCCTTCGACTCACCTCGGGCCACCGTCTGACGAGGACCCGCCAAGCCTTCTGCAACGTAGCAGTCACCTTCAACTGGCTGGAACTGACTGGTGACCGGCCGCGATGCCGACAGCAGCTCGGTGCCACCTCGGTCCCGCCGTGTCAGGCCCTCCGCTCGCATCACCAAACACGTATGTCGACATCGGGCAACTATCGGTGCCAAGCGGCAGGCAGCATGGCACCAAGACGTCATTCAGTCCGTCGTAGCCCCAGTCGTCGGCGCTGATCGGGCATGGCATATGTAGTCGTCCACTGCTCTGGAATGAGCCCACTCTGCCAGAAACAGGGTGCCTGCTCGTGCTGACTTCTGTCCTGGTCTCCAACCACTCGCTTGTCACGTGCGCATTTGATCCCGTGCTGTAGCGACAAGCCCACTCCTCCTCCTCCTCCTCCTCCTCCTCCTCCTCCTCCTCCTCCTCCTTCTCATCCTCCTCCTCCTCTTCCTCCTCCTCCTACTCTGCCTCCTCCTCCTCCTCCTCCTCCTCCTCCTCCTCCTCCTCCTCCTCCTCCTCCCCTGCGGTCACTACATCGGTCGGAAAGGTCGATCCGAGCTGCACCGATCAAACCTCTGCCGCCGATGACGCAGGGTATACCTCTGTTGACTGTGCCTTGGGCCACGAGCCGCCACTGGCTACTGACAGAGGAGCACCGGCCAAGCGCCTGCCATCAAGACGGACTGGGGTCAACTGCTGGAGTAGCCGTCGGCACGAGAAACTGTCCACTCCATCCCTGAGCCCTTCACCGTCGAACTGTTGCTCTGCCCCCTGCCAGAAGGGGGCCAAATCTGTATCTTCGACTCTCTTTAAAGATTCACAAAAAGCTGGCGAAAGCGATGGCATCGATCCCTGTGAAATTCGAGTTGGGTAACTCCCACCAGCTATCTCCAGGAGGGTCCCAAGCCGTCGGTAATCTCGGAACCCATCCGAAGTCTAACAGATGCACAAGAATCGTACCCATGGGCCTTCGGACGTGTCGAGCCTGTTGTCCATCAGGGACCGCTTCGAGCTTTGCACGAAGTGTGGGCCAGGCCCTGCGAATGCTAGCCCGAGTCTCTGGGTGTGCCTGCCACTGGCGGAGCCACATGGAGAACGTGTGGTACGTGAATCGAGCAGCTGGATCTTGCCCACGAGCCCCCAACTCCAGCAGGGTCATATGGCATCTGCCTTTGATCCTGGTGCGACAAGCCTCACCCAACCGACGCATGTGGTTGACCAGCTCCTGCCCCGTCACTCCGCCGGACGGCTGGTAGGCGTAGCTCCCAGCCGCATGCGTTCCTTGACGTTCGAGCCGCGAGACGAGCGGTGACTTGCGCAGCGTCCGCGCGTTCCTGACAGCGTTCCGATGACGGGCCAATTGATTGGCCTTCCTCTTGCCACGTTCCATTATGATGTGCCTCCGCCCCCCGCCCAGGTCGACCCCGAGGTAGGAAGCGTGCTTGGCAGCCGTGACGCAGACTCCCCGAACTCACAGAGCTCTGACAATGTCATTGGCATCCGCAAGCTTAGAGCATACAGCAAGTGGCTTACCAGCCAATTTGCCCCCTTGCTCCTGCAGCCTTGTGCTGCTCCCGCGACGCACTTGACCAGGTCTCGCGTGATCTGTTGCTGGGAGCCCTTCGTGGCTTGCGATCTATCATCCAGCCATAGACGGTGACTGCGACAAACATTCGCCGTTCAGATCCTTGGCATCACGAAGTACGCCATACTTCTGGCAAATCTGGCAAGTCATCTCAATCCTTGCATAACATTGCATGTAGGCTCGTAGGAGAGCGAGTTCAAACCAATATGATGTAGTGTGCGAGGGTGCGCGCACTGTAATACCTCGAGATAGAGCACCGTCGGGGGGGACTCCAGACGACTGGCTGCATTGGCGACTTTGACCCAAAACATGTGGTCATAGTGCCCGTCGATGTCAACGACCGAGTGCCTATAGGAGATTTATAGCACCCCCCCCCGTCACCTCTTCATCGAGAACCCTCCTGAAGGTTTCAGCGAGCGACGAGTTGCCCTTGACCGCAGCACCCCAGTGGGCTCCGACAGAGACGACCACGACCGAAACCAGGGCTCCTGACACATGCTCCGGACTCGCCCGAGCATTGAGATGAGGCCTATCACACGGTCTCCCGGCAGCTTCCTTGGAGCAGCCGCCCTATCCTATGATCAGCATCGTTTAGGCTGGCCACGCCAGAAGATACTCCACTGAGTTGAGTAAGCACGGACGCGAGCTGGGCGAGGTTTTCGTCGGGTAGCCTCTCCATACCACAAGATCACAAGGCGCGAGATTGTCCACTCACATTCCAGCGCGAGGTTTCATGGCCCGAAGCAACCGCCTCGGGTCGAGGACCGTCAACTCAGGGAGAGGCTCAGGATTCGTCCGAACGGCCTCCCGAATCACGCTCAAGACATTCCCAAGAGCCCACTTCTTATGCCATCGCTTGGCATTACACTCGACGATGTCCCGAGGGTGGTAAACAACCTCGGAGCCTTCGAAGATGTCCAGGGCAGGGACGAGGTTCTGGCGCATAGCACGATGCAGCGCTCCAAGAGCGGGTCCGGAGATCGCCCAGTCCCTGAACTCACGAATGGACTCTCCCAGAGCCCGCCTCTGACACCTTTTCATCACTTTAGCCGAGAACTCGGCAAAGTCCGACAAATTCTGCACCCAAGACCCAGGGAGATCAGACTGTGTACGAGTTCATTCAGACCACGGCGGCTCCAAGCCCTCAAGCAAACCGGCGTGGACTTGGTCGGGGCGATGTTCAAAAAGACGAACACGCGCTTGCTCCAAACGACGTTGCTGACCCTGGCCAGTGTCCCTGGAACGATGACGGGCAAGGGATCCCAAGACGTTGTGGAGGCGAGTCCATCACCCAGCTAGAACATCGCAAAGCGGGGTGACGCGATCCTTGTCCTTCGCCCTCACCTCCTGGACCTGTCGGGTCGGGGAAACGTAAGACTCGAGTAAGCCGGGACTCAGGTTTGCCGACGCTTTTTGACGAGCGCGTCCTGGATTTTGACGGTCCCGTTTTCGCGGGATGTTTGCGGCGGGAGCTCACGTCAAATTTCAGATTGGGTCTCGTTATTTTCATGATGGCCCCGTCAGGCCAACTCGAGTCGCCCGTACCCGAGTCTTGCGCCTCCCCTAACCTCGAAGTTCGAGGTGGAAGCACGACCTGGCCCGCATGGGCCTTCACAACCGTGGTGACTGCATGCGGTGTGCTCCACCGCTGTGACCCAGGACGCGTAGATTTAAGTCGGACCTGTCCCTCTACAGGAGGGATGTTCAAACATAGTAAGAGCATCGTCTGGGGATCATTTTTCGCACATTTGTGTTTAAACATGTTTGGGGTATTCGTTTATTGAATCGCTTCGCTCATTCCGCCGGCCCGTGATATGGCATCGCTGGTTTTTGTCTGTGTGTTCGTTGCCCATGTTGCGCTCTTGGGGGCGGGTGTCGTTCGGACGCGTTGCGTGGGGAGTTTTGATGGTGAAGCAGTTCCCTGGGGGTCGTCTCTCG